GTTGGAATGTGTTGTAGCCATTCATTTTGGAATGAGCATATGTTTACAAAAAAAAGAGGTTCATAAGGTAAAACATCAAATATTGTGCTTTTGTACCATTTTCAAATTAATAAAGGTTGTTAATCACTGCTTTCTGGTTTTATTAGCATTTTACACACTGTCCTGACGTTTTTTGGAATCCTTTCTACATTTTCAGGGGCAAGGTGGTCATCATCACCAACGTTGCTTCCAAGTGAGGCAAAACACCCGTGAACTACTCTCAGTTTGCAGAGATGCACGCCAAGTATGCTGAGAGAGGTTTACGCATCCTGGCCTTCCCATCCAACCAGTTTGCCAATCAGGTACAGACATGCACCTCAAGCCTCAGAAGAAACAGTCCTCAGAGAATATTCTGGAAAAAAAGTTTTCTTTGGGTTCTACTTTGCCTTACAACACTCTTCATGTACTTCTATATAATGAATGGCTTTTAAAAATACGATTCAGATCAAAACCTTCTCAAAACTATCAGAAAACAAGTTTATTATTCATAACCATTTAGTGTATAAATGGTTAATAACTTCCTGTAAGAACTATTGTGAATACAGCGTTTCACATCAAACCACTCTGAATAACTTGTTTACATCTTTACAAATTAATTTTGCTGGACCCACTGCACTATTGTTTTTTTTACATCAGCCATAACAATTTATGTAAAAATACCAGATGTTTAAAATATCACAAGTGTCCAGCGTAGGGCTCTCCTGTGGCAGCTATAACCAGTCAGCAGCCTGTCCATGTTGTCAACCCCCTCCCTCCACACACACACAAACAAATGTACAAACACAGACACACACACACACACACACACACACTACCAGCAGGCCATGTAGGAGGAGAACAGAGTGAAGGGACACAGCACCTCCACACTTTTATTCCCCGCGGGTTCACCCAACACCACATGTGTAATATAAATGTGTAGGGGTGAACAGAGTGAAGACACTGAAAATGTGGTATTTTATATGTTCTTCACAGAAAATGAGCCAAGAAAGGCCAAGAAATCTGGGATTCAAATGATAATAAATCACATAATTTTTTCTTTTCAACATTGAAAATGGGTCCCACAGACCCGAACACCACACAAGGGTTAAAAAATGGTGGTATTCTCATTCAAAGCCACAATGACAAGTGTCAACAGAGCTGAAAGCACACATCGACGGGCCAGAATATTCTACAACTAAAATCTCTGCTTGTGTCCAATAAGACCATTATTTACTATTGTTTAAGAAATAAATTCAGACTCTCATGATCATATAGCTATTGTAGCAGTGCACCATATGAGAGGGTGCGGTAAAATGTGATGGATCTATTTCATTCAGCGGTAGTGAAACTTTTCTACTTTTTTATCAGGAACCTGGCACCAATGGACAAATTAAAGAATTTGCCAAATCGTACAATGCACATTTTGACATGTTCAGCAAGATCAATGTGAATGGGCCAGACGCTCATCCTCTGTGGAAGTGGTTGAAAGAGCAGCCCAACGGCAAAGGACTCTTTGGAAAGTAAGTCAGCGCTATTCATGTTTATAACTACAAATAGATCTGTCTATTTCTTTTATAGACACATGTCGATGTCTTAGTTTCAGCAGTCTTAACTTCTACATGGCTGAATGTTTTACACCAGAGTGAATCTCCTTTATATTGTTTACCACTGGACTTGAAAGAAATGCAAATCTAAAATTTGGGCTCCTGCATTGGGACATTAGTGTAATCTGTGTTAGAGTAAAATTGTAATATGACTCATTAGCATGGTGGATTATACAGACCGCCAGGCTAGGCTTGCTCTGTTGTCTTCCACTCTGAGACTATGTCATAGTGACTGAAATCAGCACTGCATGTTTGATGGATGATGTGTCTTTCTCTGTTTTCTAGTGGAATCAAGTGGAATTTCACTAAGGTATGTGCATATTCTATGCATTTAACACTTTAAACTGCAAAGGTCTGTTTCATTTGCATATTTGTTACTAAATAATTCATAGTATTTACTTAATAATAAGTCTTAAGATTAATAACTCACAGGAGTGTAAATCTCAAGCCACACAAAAATTTGATTAAAAATTCTTAACAAACCATTCAATATTTCAAATTTCAGACTAATTTTTATTATTTTGGTGTGATTCAGAATTATAAAAAAACACTGAACACACTACATGCACAGTAGTGGAATATAAATAATAAAATCAACACACCTAGATTTTTTTCTCTGCACATTTATTTGCAAGATGTTTCATATTTCCAATATTTAAATGTTTTAAAGGGCTCATATCATGGAAAACTAATTTTTAAGTTTGATTTAATATATAAACATTGTTAAAGTTTCAAAATGCACAGTTAGAGTAAGCATTAGTGCTTATATGAAAACTAAGATGGCAAAAATAGCCCGTTTCGAATTCACTGTTTTTGTGATGTCACAAAAAACAATGCACTTACTTCTTACATATCCTATTCAGCCTACAGCAGTTTAGCCCCGCCCATTCACACTGAAGTTATAAATAATGTTTCAGTCCAAACTGCTTTTTGAATGAGGCACAACACAGGACAGCCAATCAGAATGGAGCTCATTTACATATATCAGTCAGTTTAATCCTCATGGATAAAGAGAGGTTGGAAAATGGTCATGTAAAAATAAATAATGACTGTTTTTGGTAAATAAAACCACACAAAACAGAATAATTGAAACATTAAAAAGTTGGACATTGGCCCTTTAAAGTAAAAAAATACAACTGCACTCTTTAGTAAATTGTATTGTAATTGATTATATTATTATAATTTTCCTGTTGAATTGCCACCATCATACTTGAGGCATCATAATGCATCAATGCATTTTTCACTCCTTTCACTCATTAAATACTTACCAGATCGTAAACCTGCAGTTTAAGGAGTTCATGTGTAGAACATTATATCTGCTATCATCTGTTGCACCTATTTTATTCATTTTTTTAACTGTCACTTTTGTGCTATTTTGGCTTAGAAGAGATGGTGAAAATGTTTGTCTGTGACATTTGTACAGTTTCTCATTGACCGCGAGGGCCAGGTTGTGAAGAGATACTCTCCAATGAGTGATCCAAGTGTAAGTAGTACCTGCACATTAATTTCTGTACTACTTATTCAATTAAATTGGTTTGTATTCCTAAAGCCTGCATGCGTGCTGTAGGTAACCAGCACAATACATGAGTCCTATTTATGATCTGGATTGTAAGTCATGCTAGTGATGTGATTTAAGGTTTTAACGGGAGATGTGGGAATATATTGTACAGCTATGTCTGTCTGCAGTGCTTGTTTGCTACGTCTTTAACAAGCTGGCGCTCTAATGTAGGTTAATGATTGAGGTCTATTATCGTAATGCTATCGTAGCTGCCTATAAGCCATGGGTGTAAAAGTGGCTTGCAGAAGCAATGATATAAATGGTCCAATAAAGGCCTGGAAGCCACAGAGCCTCTTTGCGCTACAGGACCCAGAGTGAGTTCCCAACCTGCACTGCTGGTAGTTAAGCCACTGTCTGTCTGTCTCTTTCAGGTGGTAGAGAAGGATCTGCCTGACTATTTGTAAGCTCTATGATAACATCTTGTGAATTCATGTAGCTCTTTAGCTACCCATGTCCATTCCCCAACCTCTCCTGTGGGCTGCTGGGTGTCAGTGGGGTCAAACCCATGGACTTATGAAGGTTTGTCTGGAAACCCATCCTGTGGAAAGGACAGACCTGATGCATTTGGCGTGCAAAACCTCCTGGGAGGATCACCAGGGCACAATCAGTCAACCGGAGAGGGACCCTATTCCTCCACAGCCCTAATGCTTTCACACGATGCTATAGACGTTACTTTAATTATTCTTCACAAGAGTATTTCCTTAATAAACTCACAAAATTTTCATCTAAATTTTTTGTGTTTGTATATTTGTAGACATCAAATAAAATTAACACAGTACATGTTGTACTTTTAATGCAATTACATGGTACATGTGCTAGTCACTGTATATATAATACATATGTATTTACACTGGTGCTCAAAAGCCTGGAGTCACTAGTTATATTAATAATTGCTGTTATTTTATACAATAATAAGTAGAATGTAGAATGATATACCGGACAACAGAAGGTATTTGCATATACACATATATATATATATATATATATATATATATATATATATATCTACAGTACTGTGCAAATGTCAGAGATCCCCTTAATTTCTGGTTAAAACAGCCATTAAGTATATTTCACAGAAAATTACAAAGGCCTCAAAAATTAAATACAATATCCCTTTTTAAGTGTTCTGTCTGTCCACTCTTTACCTTTACTATAGCTTATATTCTTTTCAGGAGACTCGCTTTCATGTTTTTAAAGAAATCTGCAGGGGTATTTTTCCACACCTCCAAAGTTCAGCCTTAGAAACTGGTTGCATTTTCTGCTTTTAATGATCCAAGTAATCCCAAACACGTTCAGTGATGTCTGGACTCTGGGATGGTCAGTCCATTGTTCTGAGAACACCAGCAGTTTCCTTATTTATCTGTTTCCTTTTCTCTCAGTAAGAGCTTCTTGACAGTTACACATCCTTTCAGACCCACAGCACTGAGATGTCTTCTCACAGTGGAGGGATGGACAGAAACACCTGTGGATTTTCTCCTCTCTTTTGTTACTTTTGTTAGGAGTCTAATTTTCCCTTTAATCTTTAATACATTTTTCATAAAAGTCCTACTTTTTCACTTATCTTCCTTTGACATTCTCTTTACGCAACTGGTTTATCTGATATCTAATCTTGGAAATATCTAAGATGAATATCTTGTACTTGATGGCTATTTTGTGAGGTTTTCACCATAAATAACGTGACTTGCACAGTACTGTATATTGGAACTAACATGTATACCATGCAATTGGGGTATCTATCTCTCAGCCTGGTAGTGGTAATTGGGTGTAATAGTGCTAATTAAATATGGCACATTGCATGAAATATTATATCCCTCAAAAGTATCCCCAAAGTGGTAGCTTTACATAACAGGGCAAAAAAAGCTTACCTTTTGATGCGTGAAGCATGTAATGTGTAAAGTGAATTTTAGAAGATTTTATTCCAAGTTATTTTAGAGCATTTCTAACATTTTCACACAACGTAAATGACAGCTGCTGTGTTCAAAAGAAGTAGAGAAACATAAACTGGAAAAAAATGGAGACAGGGCCTACACGGTTTGTTTTTCTGATTTCAGTTTCTGAAATTATTTCTAACAGGTCTAATTGGACTGATTCAGCTTTTTCTCACAAAGAAGAAAGTCTAAATGAACTGAGAACAGGGTTTAAATACAGCTCCAGATGAGGATACATGGCAGACACATGGCTCGGTTCAGTGTTCAGTGATATACAAGTGAGTGTGTTTGCACTCAGCCTGTGCGGCCCATAGAGAGCAGTGTTAGCCAAAGTGAGGGCTCGTGATGATCAGCCCGTGCGCGCCCAGCTCCAGGAGAGCCAGACTCAGGGACAGCTGAGCCTCTCTGTTCATGGCATTTCAGATGAGAGGTCCACGACGACGGACCCTGTCTCCCTCAGTTCACCATATGGTTCTGCTCCTGAAGTATAAAGCTAGGCAGACTAGGTGAAGGAGAGTCCCGTTCGAGCAGGATTGTCAGCTGTTCAGGCTTTCGTTCGGAGTTGGAGCGCTGCTGGATGGAAGCTGCAGCTGAAGCGGCGGCTGGCCTGAGCGAGGCCGGGGATGAGAGCCCGTTATCCGGGGCAGCGGCTTCAGACGAGCCGGAGCCGGGTGTCGGTGACAGCTACGGACTGGAGCTAGGGGACGCGGGTAAGTACAGCACTGAAGAAGCACGAAAACGATGTATTCTCTTTAGAAAATGACCAGTGTAGCCTGAACCCCTCAATTCAGTGTTTCTGTGAAGCGTGACGTTACACCTGACCGTAGTGATGCTTCGCTTAGGGATGCTAGACGACTTGGCTAGCTAGCTAGGAGGGAGAAACAGAGCAGAGCTAGCTGGGTTAGCCGGCAAATTCAGTTAATTTGGGTTGATTTTGTACAGCCAGCGAAGGATTTGGCTGTGTGGAAGTAAACTGGATCTCCTCGAATGAAACAACCCTCTAAATAAGCTGAAACGAGGGTAGTTGGTTAGCCTGTAGGTTAGCTAGCAACGTTAGCGACAGAATGACAGCGAAGCTGAAACCAGTTTATTATTCTCCGGCTTCGTGTTCGAATTTACCCGTTCCACCTTAAATGGTGCAGCAGCTACATTCAGACGCTCAGTCTAATGCGCCAGAATGTAACTGCTGCACCATTTAAGGTGGAACGGGCAAATTCGAACAAGAAGCTGGTGAATAAGAAGCTGACTTAGTGCTGCTGCTCAGATGTGTCATGTCATGTAGGTTATGACTTACAGTTTGGTCGTGGGGAAGAAATGGTTGGTGATTTAGGTTTTTTTTAAAGCAAGTCTGCATTAATAATCATATTAATCGCTGCTGTAAATCATGTAAAGGTCATAGCAATGGGCTTAACTGGTTCGTGTCAGTCAGCAAAGTAGGTGGTGGTGAGTTCTGGCCATGCGTGTGATTTTCTTCAGTAGCGTTAATATTTTCAAAGTCTGCAGTTTGTAGCTTTATAAACGAAAGACTGTTTTGTGTGGTGTAAGATCACCTCATTTAATATTTAACAAGCTAACCCTCACAAAAAGATATGTAATAATATAACACGTTGTAGATCTGTAGTGATATACATCTTAAATCAGTAAATACGATAATAATCTGTTACATTTTCACCTCCTGTAGTACTTTTATATAGTAATCAACACTTATATACTAGTCTATACTATACTTGAGTAGCGTTCTGTACTGTTCTTATAGAAATCCTGTAGAAACTCCTGTAGTATTACTGTACACCTTTTTTATAAGGGAACTACAAAAATGTGAAAATTACATTATCATTGAGGTCACATAGTCTTATTAAGACTTAAGTGAACTGACTGATGGAAAACTGGATATTAAATCAAAAGCAGATTAAGCAGATGATGAGAAGGTTAATTTACCTGCCTATAAATGGTGATTTCACTTTTTTAGTGCTTTTAGTGCTAATGGGGTATTTTAATATCTGTCATGAACTAAAAAATGTAATTTATATGCTTAATAAAAGGTCAGTCAGACTTTAGTACTATTCCAAGCTTCCCCATTTCACCAATAAACATGAAATATAACTGGATTGATGAAGAACTGTGAAGGGTTGAGGACTGGGGCGTATTCAGAAAAAAAGAAACTTGTCAGAAATTCAGTAAAAACACTTTTGGCAATGAGTATTTCTGAAATTGCTGATAGAGCTGAGTTTAGCATATTGCCTCAAACTGTATATTACATTTGCGAGGCAACAAAACCGATATATTTAAAAGTATCATAGTGAACTAAACAGCACTGCAAGCATGAACAGTATTTTTTTTTCTGTGAATATAGAATGAAATGTATCTACACGAGGTGCAATCTGGGTGAAAGCAACTAAGCGGAATCTGCTTGAAATGTGTGTGTTTTGGCAACATGCTGAAAGCGTTACAGTAAGTGACTCTTAAGAGAGAAAAAAGAAAAAAAAACGTGAAAAGCCTGAAGTCTCTTATGTCATAAGCTCAGCGATTCTTTACGCCACTCATTGGTCAGTTGTGCTCTTAACCCTGTCATCTGAAAAACATGTTGGAGAGTTGAAGTCCTAACTGGTGTCTTTTTTGAGTAAACAAACACTGAAATCTGAGAAATGGAAGTCTAATTTATGAGCCTATGAGGTGATAATTAAGTGCAATAACCCAGCTGTCCAACAAATACCCTCTTCCCTGCTGTAAGTGGCTCCTTCACTGTCAACATCACGGCGAGAGCTTGGTGACTTGGAGTCAGCATCTTATCATCACCATCTGTTGTTATTTTCAGATTCTCTTCGTTTCACCACGTGGCCCGCGTGAAGAGATTTTTTCCCGCTCTGAGAGACGACTGCTGCCCGTGTAAGCCGCACATATCTGTCTGACTTTGCCGTGACAGCGAGGTCGTTTTGATCTGAGGTCAGAAGATCAGGTCGCCAGTATTTTCACATGAAGACGTCTGAAATCTCCTCTCCTCTTAGTGTTAAATGCTCTTAGAACTTGCGTTAATTAACTTCGTGGCTCATTATGGGCTGGGCTGTTTCCTCCACTGCTCAGCCGGGCAGTATTAAGCCCCGCTGGAAAAGGAAAACACGCTAGAATTGCATAATAGTGTCCCTGTCCCCTGTAAGCCATGGGTGGGGGATGGGAGTTAGGGCTTTTTTTAAAGCCCTGCCTGTAGACCAGGCAAGACCCGTGCATGCTTTTGTGATCACCACGTCACGTTTGATGTACCGTTATCCCAAATGTACTGAATATCAACTGGCTCAAAGCTCCTCAGTAGCCAGTTAGTAGACTAATAAACGTTTCTGCTGCCGTGGGACGTGGGAAGTGGGGGTGCTGAGGGGGCTGCAGCACTGCCAGATTTAATTTGTTTTAGGGTGGAGTTTAAAAAAAATGTATTTTATGTTTTATGTATATATTTTTGAAATATTTTCAAATTAACCATACATTGTCTTAGTCTCTAACTTGGAAGTCTGAGTCAAGTCTCTAAGGAGCTAGTATGAATAGAGTCTCAAGTCTCTGAGGTGTGAGTCTGAGTCAAGTCACAAGTCTCTGAGGAGCTAGTCTGAGTCAAGTCTCGAGTCTCTGAGGTGTGAGTTCCAGTCAAGTCACTAATCTCTGTGGAGCTAGTCCGAGTTAAGTCTTGAGTCTTTGAGGAGCGAATCCAAGTCTCTTTGATGTGTAAGTCAGAGTTAGTCTCGAATCTCTGAGATGTAAGTCCGATTCTCTAAGGTGTGAGTCTGAGTGAAGTCTCAAGTCTCTGAGGAGCTAGTCCGAATTAAGTCTAGAGTCTCTGAAGAGCGAGTCCAAGTCTGTGATGTGTAAGTGAGAGTCAGTTTTGAGTCTCTGAGATGTGAGTCTGAGTCTCTGAGTTGTGAGTCTGTCAATCTCAAGTTTCTGAGGTATGGGTCCAAGTCAAGTCTCGAGGCATGAGTCACAAGTCTCTGAGGTGCAAGACTGTGTCAAGTCTTGAGTCTCCAAAGTGTGAGTCTGATTTAATTTCAAGTCTCTAAGGTGCAAGTCAGAGTCAGTTCTCGAGTCTCTAAAGTTTGAGTCTGAGTCAAGTCTTGAGTCTCTAAAGTGTGAGTGTGAGTCAATTCTCGAGTCCCTAAAGTGCATGTCTGAGTCAGTTCTCGAGTCCCTAAAGTGCGTGTCTGAGTCAGTTCTTGAGTCTCTATGGTGCGAGTCCGAGTCGAGTCTCCAGTATGGTGCTGGCGTTGCTTTTCAAAGTAGATTTACACAAGAATTCTTGTGGTAATTGAAAAAGGCCGACTACATCCAGCTCCTCAGCTTGATCCCACAATATAAAAGCCTGAGTTTGTCTAAATTGTCTTTCAAGCAGCTGTAACACTCTCTGTCTGGCAGAGTGGTCTCAACAAGGTAGCTGGGCTGCTCAGATATTGCTATCAGATTGAACACAGCAACTGCAGGTATTTGCAGACAGGTGCTCAGTTCAGCCAGAAACATATGATGAAAATGGTCTTTCAGCAGTATGTTAAGTGTTAAAGGGACAAAATGAAAAGTAACCATCTGCACATCTGCTGTAAACATGCTTACTTGCATGCTACAGCAGTGCTGCAGTAGTGTCTAGAGGTAGATGTTCTGGTTTAAAGGCTAGGGGAACCCCCCCCTCTGATGATGTGTCTTGAAGGTGTTAGGAACCTTTGACAAACTACATCTGCTTTGGGGTACATTTTTGGGGATGGGCTGTTTAACCCCTTAAACGCCCAGGGTCCACCGGTGGGCCCAAAGTTTCATTACACACTTCTATAATGTAAGAATAGCTCAGCTAGTTTGCATTGCGGTCCTTGTATTTACTGGATACTAAGCCTTAGTATGTAGAAACTGGGGATTTTCAGGGGTTAAAATGTTTCTTTTCTTTTTAGCTCGTGAATGCAGAAGGAAATGTTACTGCTAGGAATTCAAATCTCTCATTGCAGCCATATCACCGTAGTGACTGTATTCAAATCTTCACTACAGTGGAGAGAACGGCTTACTCAGATGACAGAAATGACCGTCAGGTTAGGAGGACAGCAGGCTAAAAGCTAAAGTTGGCAAGGTAGAACCCTGGCTATCTAGATACCCTACCTCAGTTTGGCTTTTTTCTGGTTGATAGGGTAAAACAATGGCATCCATTTGGTGCTGAATGAAGATGGAATCACTGTCACCACTTTGTTCCACTGCTGAGATAAGTGTAATGCTCGCTTGGTTGCATTTGCCTATAGATCAGTCAAGATTGGATGTGACCAATGGGATTCCCTATGGCTGTATGATTTTTCGCATAATGCATGCTGGGCCTCGTAGTAAGAGAACACTGATGAACCAAAACATGAAAATGAAATAAAACTATGAATTCTGTCAAACTGAGGGATTTAATGTTTTACTAGAGAATACTGTATAACATGACAAATAACACAATAAAATCTAGTTTTAGGCCGGAATGCCCCTTTAATGGTTTTCAGTGGGCTTTCTGGTGCCCACCTTATTCAAAGCAGTTATCTAAATGGCTAATGGAACAGTTTCACTCTCAGTCGACATTCAAACAGGTCTTATTTTCAGTTTTACTGAAGTTTTAACATGTGTTTTCTGGTTACTATATATGCATTTTGAATACATGTGCACTGTCCAGAGTAATTATATAAGGTAGGGTGTAAATCAATGTGCTCATAATTGCTTTTGGTCA